CAATATTCATCATTCTTGTACTGTTTAGCTGCTTGCTTATTAACCAGAAGGTCTTGGATTCTTCATTTTTCTGTTTCTGTCACTAAAGTCTGTGACCTGGGTCAGTGCTTTCATTGAGACTCGTCTCAATACACCCTAACACTAAAATAACGGCAACCATTTTGTTTTTCAGCATCATCATCATCTACTGGTGATTTGTCAAATAAATCGGTGAGATCTTATTGTTATGTTTTATAATCAATCAAAATTTTTGAGTTATGTCTTGAGTTAAGTCCAAAAGAGTGCTGTTAATATTGTCCAATTGACTCTCATAAAAATTGAAGTTATATCTTGATGGGCTCAAAAGAGTTCAAGATAGGATCTTAAATTAATCTTGTCTTAATATATAGACAGCTTTATGGAACAATAATCACTGGTTAAAGTTTTATGAAACGTTGCATAAAACTTTAACCAGTGATTATTGTTCCATAAAGCTGTGTCTATATATCGTACTCACAATTTTTAAATGCCATTCAAAGACTTAAGTTTCTTAATAGATTAACTTTTTAAAAATTTTCAGCAAATCCCGACTACAGGTTTATATGATCAACTTGGTGGTAAAGCAGAAACAAATAAATTTCTAGGTGAAAAGATGTTACCATCTCAGATTCCTAAACGTGGTATTCAAACACATCCTGATGGTATGTTCAGATTTTATAGCCATACTTAGAAGAAGTCCAAAATTTCAAGAAATACAGTTAATTCAATGAAAATTAGATATTGACCACTTAGATAACTAGAACACTAAATCCAAGTTAAAATTTTCGAGACTAAGGCCCTCAGTTCAAAGCTTGGGATTTTGTATGATCGAAGTTCTAAAAGGATGGACTACAATTTTGATCTTGAGGAAGTTTTCTATGTGATTGTACAATATTGTTTGCATTTTCATTAATTCTTGATGAAATTGTTTTTATACGCCCACATCTCTCTATGTGGACTTATATTGTCGGCACCCCTGTCCGTCCGTCGGTCAACATTTGCTTGTAAACGCTCTAAAAACTAGATTTTTTGATGGAATCAAATGAAATTCGGTATGTGTATACATATTCTTAAAACGAAGATCAAGTTCGAATGTGAGCTATTTTCGACCGTTAGAAGCAGAGTTATTGCCCTTGCCCGAAAATCTTGAATATTTACCCACCGCATGCCGTAGTGGGCGTATATGGCTGTGGTCCACTATCTTTATTGTTTGTTTTTCCCCACTAGGTACTATATCTAATATACCGCCTGGTATGGTAACAGATCAATTTGGTATTGTTGGTTTATTATCGTTTATAAGAGCGGCCATGGATGGTACAATGGTACCAGCTATAATACCTGGTATAGATTTAACAACACTGGGTTTAAACCTTAACTCACCTGAGTATGTATAATATATAGCCTATTCTTTGAAGTTTTTACTATAAAGGGATTGTAATGAAGTTTTATAAACTTTTTATGTATGTGTATCAATTTACACTATTCCAATTTTCTGTCAGACATCATGTAAGCATTATTTAAGAGGAATTGCAATAACCACAGACACATGGTTGAATATTGGAATGGTGCTAATTATTGATATCAGTGTCCCCCATTATATTAAAAGTTATTTACTTAAAAGATTTACTTTTTTACTGTAATAATAATAATTCATTGATCGATATTTTTTACCTATTTATTATATGCATTTAAACCTTTCAATCCCTATTTCAGAAATTTATACAGCACTTTTCAGTCTCCGTGGGCAGAAGCACCTTGCAGACCTCAAGATATAGGTAAATCTTTATTTTATACTATATTATTATCATCCACATTCTTATGAACTTTTGTATTATAAACACAAGGCATAGGTCGAGATAATACCTTCAGATTTTTCAACCCGGTTTCCCCCTGTCAGTGATGCAGGTAAGAGGGGCTGACATGGAAAAAGCATCTAGTCGTTCGGATGGGACAATAAACCGAGGCCTCGTGTGCTACAAGCTGCGCACGTTAAAGATCCCTCGAAAAAGCTAATGCCGCTGTCCTGGCAAAATTTCCCTCATGGCACCCTGCATGGCGTTGCCCGTCTTCATTAGCCCACAAGGTGCAGAAGAGTAGGACGTAAAACTCCATTCATTTCATTTCATTTGA